ATGGAAGAATTAGGTAAAAGGTTGAGCTGGCAACCCTGAATATTGCTGCTCCTTTTGACTGAGAATGAGCCTGTGATGAGTGACACCTCTGAGGCCAATACTACCCTGATCTGATGCCTTCCAAATATAGCCAATGATGATCATAAGGTCTGAGGCTATAATATTTAATTAGTTCATTCAACATATTGGAAACAAGGCCGTAAAATTTTCCTCAATGAGTTGTTTTGTACAAAACGTCTCGAGTCTTATGAATATATCTGAGTCGAAGGAAGGCATGCTTTCATCTCGAGATTATACGCAGCTTCGGGGCAACCAATGTGCATAAAGGATCATCTCTCATGTCTAACTCTCTGCATTATAAGCAGAATAGTATTGGGACAGAAGTTGGTGCAGCACCAATTGAAATACCCAACGGAGAATGTGAAACAATTCTATAGAGAAGAAGAATTCAGAAGCAGAAATAGCAGAAGAAGAAAACGGTAGAGGAAGGAGAAGAAGAATAGGGGAAGGGAGAAGACTTTGGCAACAAACCACAATTCATTTCATTCATTCATCATCTGCCTTCTCTTTCAAATCCAAAACCATATAAATAATCAAATAAACAACCCTAAAATAAAGGGGCTTGGGCTAACCCATAATACAAGAAAATAAATCTAGATGGTTGTCCGCATCAGAAGTACTTCAGCAAATCAGAAAATGGCGATGAAATTTTTACACTCGAAGGATTTCAAGAAATGTAAACTGATGTTGCTCAATGGTGTGTTGAACATTGGAGATTGGATTCCATGGCTTGATTTCTTTGATTTGCACGGGTATGTGAAGAGGATGAAGATTTTGCGCAAGAAATTTGATACCGCATATTCTTCAATAAAATAATATTTTCCATCACATCAATAACTTTTCTTTCTTTTTCAACCATATATTTTCCATCATATCGCTTCAAAAAAATGCATTATCTCATTTTAATTTGTATCAAACGGGCTCTAAGTCAAACATTAATTATGACCGTACATTTTGTAGGACCTACTTATCGTCACGTCATGCTGTCTTCTTGACTAACTGAGTTGTTCATGTTTTGCGCGGATCCATATTTTTCCCTTCAAGACTGCAATATATCAGAACTTCACATTTCTAAAGGGACTACAGTTTTTATTAACACTTGGAGCATTGGGAGGGATG